AATGTATTATTTAATTATATAACTATTTTATGTGATACTTTTCAAAAACATGACATTGACTTGATTAAAAAGATGAGAATAGCGGAGAGCATTTTATTAAAACTTAAGTACAGCTAATGTTGATTCATATTTTATATGTTATTTGGTGAAAACCAGAGCTATACGTGTTTAATATTTGCCCCCCTCGACTTGCAGCAAGCAAGCTCATCTTCAAAACATTAATTTAGGATCAGTAGAAGAGTATTATAAATAAAAGTCCCATCTCTTAGATACATTTATAACTAAAATAAACGAATGGTTTTTAATTCATCATGTAGCACTTACCAATCTGCAGAACTTCCACAAAAGCCATCCATTCTTAGATGGTGATAGAAAAAAAATAAATATTTATTAAATTTTTATCATAAAGATGTTAAAGTATCTTATGATGCCTTATTAGTTGAATAACTATGATTAAAAGATTATAAACTCTTCCCATTAGTAAACTAATGAGAGATTCTCTTTTTTAAGAAGAATAACAGAGCCCTGCAGAGGTACCATTTGCAGGGCACGGCCCGGATTATTTTTTCAAAATTTTTTTCTACCCGGCCCAGGGTTTTTTATTAAAAAAAATTTCGGGCTCGACCCAGCTTTTTTAAATTCAGGCCCGGCCCCAATTTTTCTAAAATAAATTATATTTATTTTTATAGTTAATAATGGCGATTTCAAATATTTGCTTTAAAATATATAGCCGGCCCGGATACTTTTTTAAAAAAAATAAATTTCAGGCTCAACTCAAGTGTTTTTTTTAAAAAAAATTTCGGGCCAGGCCCGGCTATGTCGGGCCTGCAAGCCTCTGAAAAACATACCTATGAAGTAAAACTTCTGAAAGTAGATTGAATGGTTTGGATCTTTTGAATATTCATAGGCATTTAACGCCAAGCAAGGGTGAGATAATTGAAAAATTAGGTCAAAACATACAAAATATTATTCCTAAGAAACTTTTTGTGTATTAATTTATATTTCCAACTTTTAAATTTTTTATAACTTTATATATAAATTTTAAAGGCTCAAAAAATTCAAATTTCTATTTTGGGTCATTTAAGTGATTCATATGGTGGTATATTAACTTTATATTTTATAATTCACATTTATTTTATAGTTTTTTATATGCCGGTTAATATATATAATTTTTTTATAATTCACATTAATTTAAAATTGTGTATTAGAAAAGTTATTAGTCCTCATAAATTTATGCTCAATGATATTCCCCCCCCCCAGACCAAATTCCTGTATACGTGCATGTTTTTAATGCCTACAGACGTTAACATAAAGTTAGTCTTTAAGTGCGCCTTGTCATTTTTTTTAACCCAAATTGATCGGCATGAGAAGAACTAAGCGTAGCTCTGTTGTTTTCAACAACACAAGGGCGAAGGGTGTAAAGAATGACGAAAGATATAAATTTGCCAAATTATCAGCTTTAAAACATTTTCAAAGCTTCAGCCCGACCCATATAACTTTTTACATATTTGTTTAACCTGGCTGACCAACCTCTATATCAGATATACTAAGTTAGAATGCTCCTTTTCAAACTCAGAGATCTATTTGTAATATAATATAGTATTCCCTTTCAATCTAACAATTTGAGGATATATGACAGAATAAGTTATGATTTGTTCAAGCGGTGTCATGATTCGACGTGCTAAGTAGGAATTATTTAATTGGATGAAATTAGTTAATTTTTTATAGCCTGGTAACATTTAAAACTTGAGCAGGTAACTTAGAAAAGAAGGTAAGGTTAGAAAGATACGGGTTATGGTTAGGGCATTGGTGCAACCATAGAAAGGGAAGGGAAATTTCCCCCTTAAAATTTGTCAGTTTCCATAAATATCATATAAAGGTTTTTCTTCTACAAAAATTAAATCAATGTCATAAAAAATAATTTTAAAAAAAATTATGTTATAAAGTTTTTTAGCTACTATGATTTACATTTTTGAGGAATTTTTTTTAAGGCTATCAGAATGAAAATAAAAATATTACTTAAACTCTTATAGAGTAGGAAATAAAAAAATATTATTTTAGTATTTAGGATGGGCCGCACCTAATTGTCATTCCCCGAATCCTCGCCACGCTGAAAAGTGAACATTTTTTGGTAGGAAGGATTATTATGTCAAAAAAATATTTGCTGAAAATTTGAGGGATAAGTTGACTTTCAGTTGGATTTGACATGCCAATAATAGAAATTTTTCTAAACATTTATAGTAATTTCTCTTATATCTTTGCATTGAGTTAATTTATTACGCATTATTTTAATTTCAAAAGATGTCTTAAAAACATATAATATTTATTGTTTATGTAGAATATAAAAAAATTGAACATTTGTACAAAACTTAAAAATCAATTGAATATGTTAAAAGATTTCATCAAATGGTTATTTACTTGTTCTAATTTCTCTTTATTTGTAATATTATTAGGGATTTCATAAAAGCTTGCAACAATATTAAGACTAGTTACATGCCAAATTTCTAAATTTCTAGGCATATTGGTTTCTTTTGGAATAGAGGTTTGTTTTTTTTCCATATCATGGCTATTGCGTTTTATTTCTTCCATTACTTCTTCATTTGAATCGTAATGACGGACATCATTTAATTTTTTTGAGATTTCGCCTATTAAGCATCGCCAAAAAGTTGGTTTGATTCTTTCAATTTCCTTAGGGCCCCAAGGCCAATATACTATTATTCTTAATATTCTTTGGAATATAATTTCGCTAATTTTGATATCATCGAAACAAGGTTCCTTATTATATTCTAACAAACCATCTATATTAATTTGTGATGTCCCCTTTATATCTTGCAGTAAATTCCCCAATATTTTATCTATTAATTCTCTTTTGATACATATACTGAACCAAATTTTAATATCCGATGATAATTCGTTAATTTTTTCCTCCTTATTTTTTGATCTTTCTTTGGTTGATTTTACCTTTTCATAAGTCAAATTAAATAATTTTTAGTATCACTACCTGTGGCATTAAAAAATTTTCTATACAAATTAGAGATAGACTTATCATTTCCTTTTCTTTCGACATTAAAAAACTAGACAAGCTGTTGAGAGCATCTTTGAAATATTCTTGAATTTTTGATAATACATAAATATAAATAAATCTTAGAATAGAAAAATGTAATGTATATATATACATAGACTGCTCAACGCCCAATTTTATTATGTTATAAAAACATTATTCTAATGTATATATATACATAGACTGCTCAAAGCCCAATTTTATTATGTTATAAAAACATTCATTTGACAGCTATTTGATAACAACATTCATTTTAATAAGTGTGTTTATAAAGATTTTAACATTAAATATTTTATTTGTATTTATGAATTTTTTTTATTTAGATCGCAAATAAATTGCAAGATATAACATTATTCAAAAAGAATTATATAAAAATAATAATTATATTTTAAAAATTCATATTTTAATGAATGTAGAAAAATAAATCTAATATATATAATCTCCATAATCACGTGATGATCGTTTTCGTATTTCCGTAATGTATTTAAAATTTAAGGAGACTATATAGTGTAATGTTAATTTAATCTCCATAATCACGTGATGATCGTTTTCGTATCTCCTTAATGTATTTAAAATTTAAGGAGACTATATAATGTAATGTTAATTTTTGCGAACGTTCTTTCAATGCAGCCCCCCTCAACTTTTTATTTTACGATAATAATAATTATATATTTTTTAAATTTTTTTTGCCATCCCCGGGATTCGAACTAGCGACTTCACGACTGGAAGGCAAACGTTTTTTCAATGCAGCCCCCTTCAACTTTTTATTTTACGATAAAAATAAATATATAATTAATTTAAATTAACAATCAGTTTTTATTTTTTAAATTTTGCCGTTAATTTTCATTTATTATTGGATAAGAAAATTTTCAAATTATGGTAAGTAATAATTTAATGTCCAATTATTTTATTGTAATCTACTTACTAATATAGTTTGTAAAGCAAAGCAATATTGGAATTATAAGAAAATATTCAAATTGGGGTAAACATAATTATTTTATTGTAATCTACTTACTAATATAGTTTGTAAAGCAAAGACATTTATTACAGAGACCTGTAGGTAAAATTTTGCACATATATTGGAATTATAAGAAAATATTCAAATTGTGGTAAACATTTTGCTGTTTTCAGGTTTATATATTAGCTGATATTTTTAAAGTTTTGTCTATATTTTTTATTTTTTGGGCATTTATTGTTAATAATTTTGAAATTTTTTTTTAAAATTAGGGCATTTATTGATGATTATTTTTAAAATTTAGCCATTTATTGATAATTATTTTTAAAATTTTGCCATTTATTTTATCCTATTATTTTGATTTACAATGTTATTTATATATATTTTTTTAAGTTAGCTATATTATTTTATATAGATAAGAATAGCAATGAAGAATAAGGAATAATATAAATAAACATTTTGCTGTTTTCAGGTTTATATATTAGCTGATATTTTTAAAGTTTTGTCTATATTTTTTTTTGGGCATTTATTGTTAATAATTTTGAAATTTTTTTTTAAAATTAGGGCATTTATTGATAATTATTTTTAAAATTTAGCCATTTATTGATAATTATTTTTAAAATTTTGCCATTTATTTTATCCTATTATTTTGATTTACAATGTTATTTATATATATTTTTTTAAGTTAGCTATATTATTTTATATAGATAAGAATAACAATGAAGAATAAGGAATAATATAAATAAACATTTTGCTGTTTTCAGGTTTATATATTAGCTAATATTTTTAAAGTTTAGTCTATATTTTTTATTTTTTGGGCATTTATTGTTAATAATTTTGAAAATTATTTTTAAAATTAGGCATTTATTGATAATTATTTTTAAAATTTTGCCATTTATTTTATCCTATTATTTTGATTTTACAATGTTATTTATATATATTTTTTTAAGTGAGCTATATTATTTTATATAGATAAGAATAACAATGGAGAATATAAATTCTCATATACCTCCAATTAAATCTCACACGAAAAGGATCAAAAATAATATAAATACATCTATAATTATATCCAAACAAACTCCAACAAATCTCATTTCAAAAAAGGTATTTTATTTTTTAGACAGTTAATACCTATTCTATAAAACTATAATATTATAGGATAAATCTGATATGATTCTCGCTTGCTCTAGAAGATTTTAAAAAAATTTCAAAACATTTTACTTAGCATTTTCCCTAAGATTAATCCATTAGTGGAGCAACCTGTGGCCTTATGAATATATTATGCCAATTTTGTCAATCTTTAAATTTTTTAGCTGAAAGACCTTCAGATGGTAGATTTACCCATTGTTGTCATAAAGTTAAAGTCAAAATTACTCAATCGCCATATCCTGATTATTTAAAAAATCTCTTATCTAACTCCTTAGATCCCTTGCACAAAAATTTCATGCATCATATTAGATCTTATAATAGTGCGATCGCCTTCGCCAGTATGGGAGCACAAATTTCAGAATTATCAGGTAATTGACCTTATTGTTTTAAAGTTCATGGGCAAATTTATCATCGCACATCGCATTTATATCCCCAGACTGATATTCTACCTAAATTTGCTCAGTTATATGTGTTGGATACATCTCAGGCCATTGCAGGACGTCTTCAGCACCCTGCCAATTCTGATTGTGATATAAATATCAAGAGACATTTAGATGAGCTTATACGCCAAATTAATCCCTATGCTTTAAGTTTCAAAACCTTAGGGGAAGTTGAGAAAGCTGAGTTATCCCTTGCAGAACATTCAAATATATTACTGCCAAAGATTAATATGATATTTCGCGGAGATCGTTCTAGCGACCGTAGGCGGTATAATTTTCCTACAATTGATTACGTAGCAATGATTTTTACAAATGATGATGGGGAACCTCCCTTTAAGAGAGATATAAAAGTGTATCCTATATCCAATGGGAATAATTTAGTAATTCTTAACGCATTAAGCCCTAATTTAGACCCAATGGTTTACCCTGTACTATTTCCTCATGGAGATCCAGGTTGGCAGCCTAATATGATTGCTGAAGGCTTTGAAAATTCTGGGCGTTCAAAAATATCCATGCTACAATTTAAAATTGCCCGTTTAGCGGTTAGACAAAATATTTTTAACCCCCTTCTTAATGCCGGGAGACTAACTCAACAATATATTGTAGATTCCTATCTACAAGTTGTAGCTAATAATCTTAATTTCATAAAGTTTAATCAGTCTAAGTTACGCGTTGAGGAATATTCAGGACTAATGGATTATTTAGCCTCCGATTTTTCCAATAATATTAATATACCTATAGGACGGGCAGTTATTCTACCATCTTCTTTTCAATCTCCTAGAAACATGCAAGAGCGTTATCACGACGCAATGTCTATCGTCTTAAAATATGACAAACCCGATCTTTTTATAACTTTTACTTGCAACCCAACATGGCCCGAAATATCCGAAAATCTTTTTAACGGTCAAACGCCTGCCGATAGACCTGATATAGTTTCTAGAGTTTTTAAAATTAAATTAGCTGCTTTTTTATCTGATATCACTAAAAATAACATGTTCGGGAAAACATTGGCATATGTTTATACAATTGAATTTCAAAAAAGAGGATTACCTCATGCCCATTTGTTGTTCATTATAAGTTCAGAGCATAAAATTGATACCGCTGAGGCTATAAATAAATTTGTATGTGCCGAGATACCAGATAGGACTAACAATTCACAATTATTTAACATTGTTACGCTTTTTATGATTCATGGCCCCTGTGGCATTCTTAATCCTCGATCACCTTGCACGGATAATGGCGTATGTACTAAAAATTTTCCTAAAGATTTTATAAATGATACAATAACAAATACTAATGGGTATCCTCTATATAAAAGAAGGGATGTAGGTTCTATATTAATATTTGGTAAACCTGTTTATAATCGTTTTGTTATTCCATACAATACCTACTTACTTTTAAAATACAATGCTCATATCAATGTTGAAATATGCACTTCTCTTAAATCAGTAAAATATATTTTTAAATACGTATATAAAGATTATGATTGTGCAAATATCGATTTAAATTTAGAATCTCTCCCCCCTAAATATGATGAAATTAAAAGTCATTTAAACACTCGGTATGTTAGCTCATGTGAAGCGATGTGGCGGTTATTAGAGTATCCCATGCATGATCGTTCACATGCCATTATTCGATTAGCTCTCCATATGCCTTTTAAACAATCTGTCTATTTTCAACAGGGCGATGAAAGGGAGGCTTTCAAAAGAGCTAATTTACATAAAACTACACTTACTGCTTGGTTTCTCTTAAATCAATTTAATCCTTGCGCCAGACAATATCTATACATTGATATTCCCTATCACTATGTTTTTGTCAATTATATCTGGCAAGAAAGAAAACGTGGCCATCAATCTATCATCTCTAGAATGTTTTCTACCGATATTAAATGTGGAGGTTTTACCTACGCCTACTTCTTCTTCATGTTCCTGGAGCAACAAGCTTCGATTTTTTGAGAACTGTTGATGACATTTTGCTAGATACCTTTAAAGAGGCTGCTATCAAAAGGCATTTATTTTCTGATGATAAAGAGTGGGAGCATTGTCTTGAGGAGACATCCTTATTTCAAATGCCTTTTCAATTTAGGCATACTTTTGCTTTTATATGCGTTTTCGGTCAACCTCAAAATCCTGCATTTCTTTGGGATAAATTCAAATCTTACCTAATTGAGGATTTCTTGCGCACTAATTCTGAGTCACTTGCCATTAATTTAGCTTTACACGATATTTCTAATACCCTTAATGCTCACGGGCTACATTGCAACAATTTTAATCTTCCTATCCCTGAACCTATTCTTCAACCAAAATTATATGATTCAGTAACGGAGACAGCTAAGGCTTTGGTAATGTTATCCAGTTTAAATCCTTTACAAAAATATGCTTTTGAGCTAATTATCCACGCAATGAAGATATTTCATGTACCATTAGATATTTTTATCTTGATGGTCCAGGAGGATCAGGAAAAACTTATCTTTACAATACTTTAATACATTATCTTAGAGGGCAAAATAAAATTGTATTACCATTTGCTACTACAGGAATTTCATCCATACTACTAATTGATGGAAAAACAATTCATAGTGGTTTTAAACTTCCTATACCTATTTTAGACACATCGGTTTCATGTATGAGACCTTTATCTACACAAGCTAAGGAAATTAAACTTGCCCATTTAATAATTATAGATGAATCAAGTATGATGACAAAACATGCTTTACGCTGTATAGATGCCTTACTTAGGGAAATTATGCAAATAAATACCCCCTTCGGTGGCAAAGTTATTTTATTAGGAGGAGATTTTAGGCAAACTTTACCAATTATACCTAGGGCTTCTAAAACACATATTATCGAATCATGTATTAAATCTTCAAATTTATGGCATGTTTTCCACCAAATTCAATTGACCCATAATATGCGCTCTCTTTCTGAGGAGTTATATTAAATGGCTTCTACAAATAGGTGAAGGGAACCACCTCTATTACCTTCCCCCCTTCCTTCCGACTATATAGAAATTCCCCTATCTATGCTTGGAGATTCTCTAATATCATCCATATATGGTGATTCCCTTTTACTTAATAATATTGATTATTTATCTAGCCGCATAATTCTAACTACAAAAAACGATATTGCATTAACATTAAATAACACTATCATATCAAAACTTCCATCCTCTTTAAGACTTTACTATAGTTCTGATTCATTGGTTTCCGATCACACAGATGAATCTCTCAACTATCCACCTGAATTTCTACATTCCCTAACACTATCTGGAATGCCACCTCACATACTATCCTTAAAAGTTGGTACAATTATTATTCTTCTTCGCTATATGAATCCCACAAAAGGTTTATGTAATGGCACCCGGTTAATAATCAAAAGTATGCATAATTATTTTTTGGACGCCGAAATAATTACAGGCACCAATAAAGGTCGGTGGCAAAGTTATTTTATTAGGAGGAGATTTTAGGCAAACTTTACCAATTATACCTAGGGCTTCTAAAACACATATTATCGAATCATGTATTAAATCTTCAAATTTATGGCATGTTTTCCACCAAATTCAATTGACCCATAATATGCGCTCTCTTTCTGAGGAGTTATATTAAATGGCTTCTACAAATAGGTGAAGGGAACCACCTCTATTACCTTCCCCCCTTCCTTCCGACTATATAGAAATTCCCCTATCTATGCTTGGAGATTCTCTAATATCATCCATATATGGTGATTCCCTTTTACTTAATAATATTGATTATTTATCTAGCCGCATAATTCTAACTACAAAAAACGATATTGCATTAACATTAAATAACACTATCATATCAAAACTTCCATCCTCTTTAAGACTTTACTATAGTTCTGATTCATTGGTTTCCGATCACACAGATGAATCTCTCAACTATCCACCTGAATTTCTACATTCCCTAACACTATCTGGAATGCCACCTCACATACTATCCTTAAAAGTTGGTACAATTATTATTCTTCTTCGCTATATGAATCCCACAAAAGGTTTATGTAATGGCACCCGGTTAATAATCAAAAGTATGCATAATTATTTTTTGGACGCCGAAATAATTACAGGCACCAATAAAGGTTACAGGGTCTTTATTCCTCGCATTGATTTAACTCCAAGTGAATCACAATTACCTTTTATTTTAAAACGTCGCTAATTTCCAATTCTTCCTGCATTTGTTATCACAATAAATAAAAGCCAGGGCCAAACCTTTGATCATGTAGGATTATATCTTCATGAACCCGTATTTTCACACGGACAACTTTACGTTGCCTTAAGTCGTTGCACTTCTAAAAAAAATATAAATATTATGATTGTTCCCACGCTTTTGCAAGGACATATGCTTTCAAATGAAAAAATATATACTAAAAATATTGTGTATACCTGTATTTTATAATACCATCCATATTACATACCTTCAGGTATAAGTAAACATGCACATATATCTATATCTTATTTCCATTAAGGATATTTTATAAAAAAAAATTCAAATAACGTTTGAAGATATTCCAAACTTTTATTACTTTAGTCATGGATCTAGGTATATTTTAAAATTGTTTTTCTTTTTATTATATTTTAGACATGCTCTTAATGAAAAAATATATATAAAAATATTGTATATACCTCTATTATATAATACCATCCATATTACCTACCTTCAGGTATAAGTATATATATACTGTATATCTATATCTTATTTCCATTAAGGATATTTAAAAGTAACATTTTTTCAAAAAAACTCGAATATATTCCAAACATTTATTCCTTTTGCAATGGATCTAAAAGAGGTTATTGTTTTTATATTCCTATTATATTTTAGATTTAAACGAATCAGTGTGTTAAATAAGTCTCTCATAGTCATAGCAAAAATAGTCAATATGTGCTTGGTCTATCATTTCATCATCCTCAACATGGAATAGGAAAAGAACCCCCAAATAATCTTATTTTACAATGGTACTATTTAACTTTTATATATATGGATTTTGACATTCGATTGATTTGGGTTAAGGATTTATTGCGATGATATACCAGACTGATGCTTATTCTACATCCTCAGTTTTATAAATATCTAATACTTACATTTTGGTAAAATCAATAATATTTTAATTTAACTTTTATAAATACAAATTTTGACATTCAAGGAAGAAAAATTCAAGACATTTTAATTTGGGCTAAGGATTTATTGCGATGATATACCAGACTGATGCTTATTCTACATCCTCAGTTTTGGAAATATCTAATACTTAAATTTTGGTAAAATTATTGATATTGTATATTTTTTATTATTTTCTTTTTTATATGGCTTCAAATGCGAGTGTGTTGAATGATAACTATCAAGTCTTAAGGTATAACATGTATTATACAATTTTTTTTTCACATCTTTGTCTCTTTGATATTTCTACCTTCTTTTTTTCATTCTTTTTTTCATCTCTTTGCTCCCCTAAAACCCATCTCTACCTTCACACGGTGGGGAGTGAACAGAAATGCTGACCAACGGGAGCTCTGGTACTCTTAGTTATTATATTCTTCATTTTGCCAATCAATTCATAATTTTCTACCTTTGATATATGAATCAGAAATATGATTCACAAATTTATTTACCTCTTTTTCTCCTAAATTTTAATATTTTTATAAAATAGATTATACACAAACTAGCTAATTACCTCAACTCCGTCATTCTTGACGGGTTATTAGCTAGTATATATATATTACGCAATTTTTATAATAATAATATATAATAAGAAAATAAAGTAACAAATAAATTTCAGCAAGGTGTAGCATTTTTAAGAATTTGATTTATATATTTTAAACAGAATATTGAAAATATATTTTATAATATAAAATGACATAAATTTAAAATTCTTGTAAAAGTTTTTTTTGTTCAGTAAAAATAAGAATATATATTTTACATAATCTAAGCAATTATTTATATATTTTTTGTAAATTAATATTATTTTTTAACTATTTTTTTAAATGACAGACATAATGTTAATATCGACTTTTTTTATCTATTATTTTTATTCCTAACTTTATTATTATATAGATAGGATGTGGCTTTAAATCAAAATTATGATTATTTTTTTAAAATTATTTAGATTTCCAATTAACAATAAAGCTCTTTTAAGTAAATCGATCCATGCAGTTAAAAGACAATTTTTTAAACCAAACAAATACTCATGTATCTGTATTGCACATTTCTCAATAATCATTTTATCCAACATCTACAAATTATCATAATTTAATTTATCAATTAGATAAATGTGTTTTTACAGGTTACCATTAAAAATATTTACAAGCTTAATCTAAATTGCCTATATATATAGCAATGTCAATTAAGTTTCTTTTAATCCAATACTTTTATTAATTCAAAATGCATTACTATAATAAAATAACAAATAATTGTTATAATATAGTGTCAAAGTGTTTTTTTCCAGCAATGTGTTATTTTTTCAACTTTATATCATTGGAGCGCGTTTTTTAAATTTAAAAATGTGATATTACTGGAAATGTATTCCAGCATGCTTTGAATACCTATATGAATTCTAGACCATTTTGCCCTTAACCTTTGAGTCATTTATAATTTATATAAAGAATCTATGGAAAAACGAATAGAAATTATACTAAGTTCAAAAGTTCATGGCCAAATTATTTGGTACATTTCCTGTAAAATCAATTTAAAAAAAATGCCTCAAAAAGTGATATAAAGTTGAAAAAATACATTGCTGCTAACATATATATGAAAGTTTTCTTTAATTATTAATTTGAATGTATTAAAGCATTAATAAAATATTTGATGATTTTTATGATATTGAATGAATAAAACATTAGATGATCTTTATGTCATCAGCATGAGTAAAAATATATTTTAAAATATTATTTTTTTTAACATACATATTTTTTAATATTTTATAATTTATAAATATAATGTTAATATCTCCTAGTTCTTTTTTTTTATTTTTATTCCTGATCGCTTTATTTTTATATAGAATATGATGTGGGTTTGAATCAAAATGATTATCATTTTTTAAAATTAATAAAGGTTTCCAATTAATAATAAAAAGTGGACCCATGCAGTTAAAAAGAGTTTTAACAACATATGCTAGATCAGGAATTAGGATCCCTTATTAATTTGCAAATATTGATTAAACTCATAGTTCCTAGTTATAAAAACATTTTATTTCATCATTTTGAGAGAAAAGAAATCCTAAATTTAAAAAATATGATAAATAAATGAATTAAAAATATAATAGTTTTAGGCCAATAATATTTTTTTTCATTATATAAAACATAATTTCCTTTCTTTTATAAACTTTAATGTTTTCATGAATTATTTGGGTTATTTTTAATATTTCTTTCATTTCGTAATTTATCAATTTTTCTATTCTGCCAAAAAAAATTAAAAAACTTTTACGTGAATTTTAAATTTATATCATTTTATATTATAAAATATATATAGTTGTAAATTAAACCGCTATTTTTATTATGTAAAAAATATACAAATTAAATTTTTAAAAATGCTCTAACTTGCGGAAATTTTCTTATTACTTTATTTCCTTAGTATATATTATTATTATAAAAATTATTTAATATATATAATTAATTTTTTACATTCATTTATATATGAATTTTTTACATTCATTTATATAAAGAATATTTTACATTCATTTATATATGAATTTTACATTTATTTATATATGAATTTTTTACTTTCATTTATATATGAATTTTTTACATTCATTTATATATGAATTTTTTACATTTATTTATATATGATTTTTTTACATTCATTTATATATGAATCTTTTTACATTAATTTATATATGAATTTTTTTACATTCATTTATATATGATTTTTTTACATTCATTTATATATGAATTTTTTACATTCATTTATATATGAATTTTCAAACAATATTTAATTATTATATTATATCTTTTTGAAAAATTTTATATCTTGCAATTTATATTTATTTGCATTTAAATAGAATAAAAATTTCATGAAATATTTAACCTAAAAATCATTATATATAGATTTATTAAAATAAAAGTTGTTTCTTTGCAAATGGTGCTCATTTTAGGCGCGTTTTTTTTAATCGTTGAGCAGACTATATTTGTTTTTTTAGTTAAAAACTTACTTTTTTTGGAAAAATAACTAACTAGTTAACGATAAAATTGTTGACCTATAGCTAGCAAGGGTGGGTATAGGCATAGCTATATCTACTAATACTAACGCTACATTTCTTTTTAAAATTTCTCTAACTATAAGTAACAACTTACTTGAAAAATGTTGCTACACTATAGCTGCAAAAAACTATTTAAAATGTAGCTAAATATAGCTACATATTTCAAAAGAAAAATTTTTTTCTTTTAGTTAATCAAGAATATATTTTCAGTCCAGGTTCTCTTAACACATATAAAACTCCTTTTAATGCCGAAACACACTTCTGCAGTTTAACAGGATTTTAAGAGTTCAAATAGTTTTTCATTTACATTTTTAACAAACATTATTTTTGATTCCTATTTAATAGCTCCAAATTAAAAATAAAATACTAAGAAAAGAAATCCTTAAACGCTCAGAATAAATACTCAATGCTCAGAAAATTACTGAATGCTCAGAAAAATTTTTTATTTCTTCGATAAATAACTTAATTGCACATAAAAATAATTGTTCAGGTATAACTAAAACCCTCAGATTATAAAATAAATCGCTTATAAAAATATGAAACGCCAAAAACTAGTCATTTAATTGCTCAGAAATATTCTTTCTTAATATTATTGATTTTAAGAATTTTTTGATTATAAATTTCAAATAAAATGTTGGTCTCTTCTGGTCCCCATCTAGTAATGCACCCTCTAATTTCAATTATGAAATTATGTCATACCCCCCCCCCCCCGTTTGTTTAGTCCTAGCCAGTTCCTCTAAATAAAAATTACTGGTTAAGAAGGGTTATTTTAAAAAGTAAATCCTTCGATTTGTAAATATGGTTTGGCTAAATAAAAATTGGGTAAATTAAACATTCAGGATATTATATTTATAACTTCTTTTAAAACTTATTTTAAAGATACGAAAATTAAAAGTTTAATTTAAAATTCCTTTTTTTTCATAATTAATTTTATTAACTACTATTTTCTAAATATACGTCGCCATAGGTAAAA